TCCCCGCGTCGTTGTGACGGGATAGCGCTTGTCACAGTATAGTAGATCAAATATGTAATGAAACGAGCGGTGCACTCTAAATTCGTCTTTACTATAAATATCCACATCACTCGCAAAAACATCGTTGATTAATTGAAGACATCCTAGCAAAGACAGGAAGAGGCATATCAGTAACTTATGCTACTGAATAGAAATCTAGTAAAACTCCGGTTGCTTATCAGTGCTAGTTGCAAGACTATAGAGTTTAATCGCCTCTTAGACAAGCACACGTCAACATGGTAATGGAAATGAATTTAAAATATATGCACAAGTGCCGCATAAAAGTAATAGCTACTATGCAGGTATCGAGTAGATCGCTTGAAACTCCAGCAATTATGTTCTAGACTTAAATAGATGATCGTCATGGAACCAAATATACTTAATGGTTTACTGAAAGTTCACAAAGATAGAATAATGAAGACAGCATTAAATATTTTCTACATCATTCAAAATCGCTGCTTCCGAAATTTAATAAAAGCCAAAAAAGTTAACCAAGTATAACACCGTAGTTTTCATGGTATTAAACAAAAAAGTTTTAGAGTTCTACCAGCAATGTTGAAGCCATTCTCTTTCAATTGTGTAACGAAACAAGAAAATAGGTTTTGTTCTGTAAGTGCAACAAACATCCATGACTTAACTCGCTGTTTGCGTACCATATTTATAGTATGGTGATTTTCTTATTTTGTATTTATGCATAATTTACAAGTTTTGTATAAAACCGACGTTTATTCTAAGGTTCATACTATAACAATTTAAATTAATAACGTTATAACCATGGGTTAAATATGACCAACAAAGTTAAACGACAATAAATCGAATTTAAAAGCTGAATAGCATAAACATTAGACTGAAAAATCATCGTCGCGGTCGCTACGGCCCATGCAATTAAACGAGAGTAGAAAATCAGTGATTCTACATATCCGACAATTAAATTGCCACGAAAATCTCCATGGCATCGTCATTAGTGGCCGCCGCCAAAACACCAAAGTTACGTCCAAGAAGTTTGGGTTCTTTCACATTCTCATGGTGAATCAGCAACAACGACCTGAAAGCAACAGCAGAATCATAAATCGAATCCATGTTATGTCGCTGTTTCAATACATATCTGCCCTGTCACAAGCTTTTACTCTGTAGACCTTCAGACCGTCATCGAAAAAGGCGTAAAGTCGGCAGTTTGCGTATTCTAAAAATATGACACTAACTTCATCGAACGTAACTTCAGGAACCGATTATTTGAGACTCGCTGTAGGAGAGTTGGATAATTTGAGAATATCACAGAGTTTCAGTAGGTACAATAAAATCTTAACTAGATCATTTGAGGTTTCTTATCTTATACTTCTTAACACTACTGTTTGCATGATGGTTTTATAGCTTGAAACTCATTTTAATCATAAAACTTAGGAAATGCACACATGGACTGTTTCATGAACAACCCAACATAACTTATTTTTGCTCCGTCTATAGCAGCGCGAACAACATCAAGAAATCGCCAATGCATCAGCTGACCAGACATCAGCCATCATCAGGACATAAAGTTAACCGAATATGGAGTCTATGCAAGCTCGTTGACAATAATGGTAAATAGCTGGTAGGCAGAAACAAGCGTGACATACAAGCATTGCTTTTTCACATAGTACATGCCTCTGACATGGAACAAAATGTTAAGAAAATGCTGCCTCTAATACAGCGAATAAAATTACAACCTTTAAACTTAACGTGCAATCTGTTTTAAAAGTTACAAAAACAATGCGAAATCATAACTGACAGGAAAAGGATCATTTTTGAATTTAATCCTGCATTCGTAAAACGGTCAAAGTTAAACTGTTTCACTGCTTACTCAATTCAGATTTCCACTCATCCGCTGAAACTATTTATTGTTTCTTTCGATCATAATTTTAAGCTATTTGAAGTAGCAAAAAGCTCATAGTAGGTGTTGATCGTTGTATTTAAATATTTTAAACACTTATAAAATCAAAGAACGATCTTGGCGTCAATGAACTAACAATTTATCGCTGAACGAATGGCGCTGTCTATTCTGTACATTGATGTTGATAGGTGATGTCTTGCTTAGATTTACAGATGAGAAGCTCGCTGACTTTAATCTCAGCTTGCAGAGTTCTACTGAAGAGATTAGTGATGAAGGGAAAAAAATCATTTACATCACCTGCCATCTTCATTTTCATAATCCATTATCACTTTCCCTTTCACGTCGCAGAGGCAGACGCACGCAGTGCCTCCAACGTTCCCGAACCTGTGCAGAGCCTGAGGTTCAGCAGAAGACAATAGGAGACTACAGCAGATCCCATTCGTGTATTTGCAACAGGATGACCGTGGTCGACCTCTGGAGTTTCGACCGTACGGCTGGGGAAGAAGTAGTCTGGAGGCATCCCCAACACATGCCAAGATCATCGCACCTCTAACTTCTCAGCGAGAAACACTAGGATTTTCATTTTAAATACGTCCACACCTATGTCGTCAACATCGCAATCGGCTGCGAACCTTCCCAGGAGCGCACCGTAGATCAGTTTTAGAAAAAGCCAACAAAACAAAGTCGTCTGCAAGCAAGAACCTTTTCGTTTTGACATCTCCTACACTGACGCATTCATTGTTTGGATGCACCTGACTATTCCATCCATGAACAGGAGAGGAAACAAAACGCAGCCTTGCCAACGCTGAAAGATTTCGACTCAACGCAAACGTGCAATCATCACATAGTAATTGGATGGCTCGAATCAACTGACATTCCATTCCATATGTTCGGGAACATGCTTAACAAATACATACATACATACATACATACATACATACATACATACATACATACATACATACATATATACAT